AGGTTCTGTGTGGGACAGCTGCACCTTTCCTGTGAGGATAACTTGGGATTTTTCAGGGCTATCAGAGCTATGTAATTACAGGGAGGTCAGTGTTCTCTCTTTAGTGCCATCATCTGACTAATGCCCAGTTCAGAGACTTTTGTGTGAGTGACTTAGGGCTGGCAGGGTTGGAATACAGTTCCAGAGTGTTCACCACATCAGTGCCATTTGGATTTCTGTGGGATGTCTGAATCCTTTTTGTCCATGAGGCTTTCTAGACTTGCATATTCCCCCTCATGTGCCTGCTGACTTGTCAAACTTGCTAATTAGGTGATCTCAGGTAACTCTGTTAGCAAGTTTCTTTCAGCTTGCTTTTTCACCTTACATTTTTGTTCTAACAGCTTTTTAAAACACTTCAGTTCTTCTGACAATCTCCATTTCTGTCAAGAGAACTCTTTCACTTGTTGCTTAAAAACACAAGTGCTGAGAAACTTAATTACATAGGATTACACAGAGTAATCATAGGGTCACACACCATAATTTATGAAAGTGGCCAAAGTTTATTTAATGTCAAAGAAGCCAAAATCACCCTTTTTGTAATGGGGTATAAAAGTTTCTGGTAGTGTAAAGGTTTGAGTTTAAATATTCAGTGTTGGAAGAATTGTCCTTCCCTGCAGTGAGGCACCAGGTGTTTTTTTTGTCTGACCAAACACAGCCTCCTGTATCTCTGTTTGCAATTCCAGCTTGCCAGAGCCCCTGTGGGAATAGTCAGTGATGGAGCTGACAGAAGCCTTTAGTGAGGATGGCTTACCTGGCAAGGCAGGTGTTGATTGAGGAGAGCTTTTATTAAGTTGGAACAAAATGATCTTGTCATGGTTTGTCTGGTGGTGGGAACAGTTTTTTGTGACATTACGCTCATGTTCTGGTTTTCATATGAGCTGTAGGCAAAGTGAGGTGCCTTTATTGCCTCCATGTCTTCAGAATTCTGGGATTTGGGGTTTCTTTGGCAGTGGCTTACAGCTGTCATTTACTAATTTAGTAATTTCTTCAATCTTGATCTGAATTCATTTATTTGGTTTGTTGTTTGTTTTTTTTTTTTTATCGTGAATCTCCTGAATCCTTTTCATTCTTTCTCACACATTTTGGGTACTTGTGCTGGGCTTGTTACCTCGTAATTATTATAATTGCCAGTGTAGTGAATAAAACTGTTGGGTTTTGATTGGGATTGTGTGAGTGACACAGTAGTGTGAAACTGAGCTGGAATTTGTGTGATTCTGTTAGCCCTTCACCCCCTTTCTCTGCTAGTTTGCCTAGTTCTGTTTGACCCTTTCAAAGGAAGATGTGAAAAAATACTATTAATAACCAAATGAAATGTTTTCTTAGGTAAAACAAATAAAAAATGCAAACAAAACAACCCAAGCTATTAAAAAACACTTCCTCATACATTTCTTTTGTCCTTGACGTTATTTACAAAATACACAGTTGCTGAAATAGAAATCATTGATTTTTTTGAAAGATGCAGCTCTGAAAAGGCAAAAGGATTTTAAGTTTGGGTAGAGCTGACTACAGTGTTGTACTAGATATGCATCAAGAGTTCACTTCCTTGTCTCAAGGTTAGTGAGGAGAACTTAAAAACCCACCCCATGTTCGTTCAAGTAAACATCCACTCTGCATGTGACCTGACATCATACCTGCTTTATTGTGTATTATTTAGAAACTAACCTCTCAAACTGCTGTTTGGTGTGACTTAGATGTTCCCACAGAGCTCAAATGCTGAAATCCAAGATGTTAGAAAATTTCAGCTTTGTGTTTATGCTGGGATTGTAGACGAGGCTCTCACATGATTTGGAAACTTGGGACGTGACCACTCTTGGTCTTTCACGCAGACAAGTCACTGAAGTCAAATTCAGATTGCTGTGCTCAGCCTTTGACCATGCTCTGATAGAAAGCTTCATAAAAGAGGTTTACTGTATTCTGACTAATTGAATACTTTGATTATGTAGCTTCAAGCAGACGAGGGAAGGGAGAGTGATGAAGCATTTTCCCGCATGGGAGCTTGGGCACACCTTGAAGCTCAAGTAGGTTTGTGACATCTGTATCAGATGTGACACTGCCTGTTCAAGGGTACACTCAACTATTCCTCCTGATTCTGTTCTGTTAATGTTTTATGTAAGGATTAAAGCACAGTAGGAATCAATTAGAGAAAGATCAGGGGAAATTTTTCTAGTAAGGAAGCTTCTCTTCTTGAAATAATACATTATATGTAATTAAATCGAGTAAATTACCCACGCAAAATGGCTCTCAAATAATTCAATCTCTTGCTCCCAATTTTCACTCCAAAACTCCCTTACTTGTGTTGCTTCCTCAACTTTATGATGAGGGAAAGGATTTCAAGTGTGCTGATGGAAGTCCCTGGATCTCTCAGGCATGTGGGCACACTTGTATTCTGAGATGCCAGTGCCACCTAATAGTTGCCCAGGGCTTTGTATGAATCATTTCTTATTAGTAGATAATTCAAAGTTTCCCTGCTGATGCAGTATAAGAACTTGCGAAGATCTCCTTTTGGGACACCAGCTTTTATATATCCTAATATCCAAATTTTCTTAAGAAAAGTCAAGACTTGTAATGTTCTTTCATTCAGAGCTGCCAACAGTAGCAGCTCCTACACCTTGAGTGGACATGATGTTGCTTTACTTCTTAATCCCATTTTCCCTGGAAGTGTTCCAAGGAAAATGAAAACTTAACTTGGAGTGTTAGCAAGGTAAATAAAACACTGATACCTTGGAAGAAGTTCCAGTTGCCAGAAGTGAAATGAATGGGTGTCACAGTCTTCAGTGAGGAATTACAGGAAGGTAAATGTGAAAATGAAATATTAAGGGGTTCTGACTTATTTCTTTTTCTTGGAGAATTGAATGCGCTTTCCACCAGAGCAGAATGGTCAGGAGAGGAGGATTTTCTTGTTCATACTTAGAATTAGGCCAAACAGAGGTTGTGCAATCATCCTGCATTACTGCACTTACTCAGCAGACAGATCCCTGTGGAGGAACAAAAAGGTTTTTAAAAGGCACCTTCCAGGGTGGGATTCCTTTGCATCAGCTCCACCTTGTCTGTGAGGCTGGGACTCAATTTTCTTCAGCTCCACTGAAGGCTGGTCTTTGATTTCTTTCCCTTCACTGCATCTCTTGGGCACTGAACCATTGCTGTGCTGAACAATTACACTCAGCATCTCAATTAGAATTCCATCCCTTGAAGAAAATAGTACTTTATCTAGGTCTTGATTTACTCCTTAAAATTCTTCATTTCAGCCCATTACTCACTAATTTTTTTTTTTTTCTCAACGAACCTGTATTTCATAGGACAGCATATCTAGGCAGATCATTTGCTCCCATTTTCATTACTTTAGGTGACCATAATGTTTAATTTTCACCTGTGACCCCTGGAGTTGTTTACAGAGCTGTTCTGTTGACATTTCATTTGAATGATTCCTTTCAAAATACATATTTTCTGCATCCCAGTTTGATGCGGGGAATCTATAAAGGTCTTGGCTGATGTGTAAAACAGGGAGTGTGAGCCACAGCTCATTTATAATTTTAATCAGATTTATAACAATGCAGAAATGAAGGACATGTTTTCTCCTAGGATCCAGACAGTGGGAAGGTACAGGCCTGTAGTTCCTGAAACAAAGCCAAATATAGAATCTTTTCTGTCTGGCTTTGTAAACATTTTATTGTACTATCCCAGCTAAGCTAAGCTTGGAATCCTGTGAGTACCTAGGAATTTGTTGACTTTATCAGTGGTAACTGTTTTCTAGACAACCATGCATTGGTGTACTGAAGTCATTGCCTAAAGTGGAAATACAGTGTCTGTACAGATATTTAAGCCCCAACTGCTACTTTAGCTGAATCTTGAGTTATTTTTTTTTCCATCTGCATGCTCTTCTTATGAGGCGCATCCATGGGGGTACCTTGTCCATGCCACTGTTGTTGGGAAATTGAGGGAAATTCTCCCTGGACTACTGGCTGAAGGTCCTTGATGTAAGAACCAGGAGCTTAGAAAAGGCAAAATTGCAGCCTTCTGATCAAACAGGTGTCATGTCAGCTTCAAAAGAGCTTTTCACACACAGCTGTCACTTAACTGTAGTTATCTGGGTGTGCAGAAGGACTGGAGAGGAGAATATTCCAGCCCTGTCTTTCAAGGGTGGAGATTCACAGCTGAGATGTGCAGGAGTCCAGGACTCCAGCTCTGCTCAGGAGCTTAGGTGGGGAGATACCACCCTCAGCTGCAGATGCAATAAAGCAGGGCTATGATGGAAATCTTAAACATGGATTGGAAAGGAAAATATCCATAGAAGGACTTCTGCTTGTCCTCACAGCATTGTTAGACTTTATTTTTGTCCAAAATGTATTAGGCACTTAAAGGTTACTATCACAATATAGCTGCAATTAATGTTTTGTTGTGTTTCTACTTTAGCTTTCTCTATGATATTAAAAGCCTGATAAAGAGCCTTTGTCTTCGACTTAATTGGAAATAGAATTTGATTGCTTTTTTTAAATTGAGAAATAAATGAAAAAAATATGTGAGTGAACTGCTTTGGTCTGGTGCAGAGAAGTCAGATCTGAAAACAAAGCCTAAGGCGTGTCAAGATGATTTTGTGATGTGAAATGATGCAGGAGCAATGAAAGTAAGGTGTCTTACAGAGGAATTTCAGTCCAGGTGCTGTACACACCCCTCAGGATAAGGGCACTGCTGCTTTGATTGCATTTTCATTCTGATGTTTGGTATTTTGGTTGTTGAAGTGGAGTAGTGGTTTCTCTTCAGGGAGAACGGCCAACTTGTGAGTTCTGGTTTGTGCTCAGACTTTTGTTTCCAGGAAAAACAAGATATTACCAGCATTAATTTCTCATTAGCTTTCAAGATGGAACATTAGTAAGCAACATGCCCTTGCAGCTGAGAGCACTGAGGGTACTCTGGACTGCATCAGGATTCCTGCCAATAATGCTGGATCATTTCCTTTCTTGCAGGTGGTATGGTCAAGAAAAAGACTACAATGTTCTAGTCATGGATCTTCTGGGGCCCAGCCTGGAAGACCTCTTCAACTTCTGTTCTCGCAGGTTTACGATGAAAACAGTACTTATGCTAGCAGACCAGGTATGTGCACACCTCAGCTTCAGAGCCCTGAGGGATTCCTGCAGAGTGCCTTAAATAATTAATACAGTGTTTTATACACTAAGTGAGCATTTGACCTAAATGAGGACAAAGTAATGGTGGTTTCTGTGTGCTCTGCCCTACAAAATGCACCGAGCGGAAGGGCACTGCAGCTGCCAGCTCCTTTGTGCTGCTGCTTTAAGGGCAACTTCATTAAAATATGCAGACTAATTTGGGTGGATTCACTGCCAGTATCAGCACAGGGGCTGTGGTGGGGGGGCTGAAACACTCTCCAGTTGTGGGTGATCTAAGTCAGTGGGACCTGTGGTGACAACATGCAAGTCTGTCCCTGTGCTCTCACACCCTCCTGTAGCCTCAAGTGATGCCTCAGGTTTTAGTTTTATATTTTTCAGATTCTCTGCTGCTTTAGTGTGTAGTTCTGAGCTTCATATCAGGGGATGGTGAGCTCTCTTCACAGGGCAAGGAGACAAAACAATTCCTTCCCAGCTGGGGACCAAGGACAAATGATGCAAGGCATCACTAGGACCAGACAGTGAGCTAATAATAAATAACTGCCTTGCTTGTTTAGTCCTCACAGACACTTCTTAAAGCTGTTAGTGGAGATGAGATGCCACTCTACCTCCAACATAATCAAGGCCTCTAAAACTCTTAAGTCTTTTTTTATAGCAGTTGATGTTTTTCCAACTTGGTAGTGAGAATACAGCATTTGAAATGAGCAGCCATATTTATTTCTTACTGCTTAATAAATGGCTTGATTGTGCTGCTTTCAGCCCCTTGAAAAGCATTGAGGGTTTTTCAAGTTGAATTTTTCAATGGTAGTTGAAATTTCATCTAATATTACATAATAGATATCAGTACCAAGTTGTCACCTGGCCAGATGCTCGTAGAATCCCAGGCTCTTGGCCAAGGAAGCTGAAAGCATTTGTCTGGAGACAAGGTCAGCAGTCCCTGTTCTCAGCTGCCCTGAGAGGGTGATGTGCTTGCCTTAGAGAGCCATTTGCCTGCTCACTTAGAGTCTGGGTGTGACAGCACCTCCAGGGACTCCACCAGGGGCTTGTGCAGTATTCCTTAGGATGACAAACATTAATTTTCTGTCAGCTGGGAAACAGGCAGAAATGGAGGATAGCAGTGCTCAGGTTGGCTTTTAGGGCACAGCCCAGCTGTCAGGGATGTGATGTAACAACTCAAGCCTGCAAGAGGAGGGTTTGAGGAGCTGCAGAGCTGTGCCACATCACCACAGGCCGTGATCTCACCCACAGGAAATGGGCTGGTCCTGTGTTACGACACAGATGTGCCAGGCTTTCTCCATGTCTCCAGATATTCTGGGCTCAGGGTAGCCTAGATATGGCACCATGGGCCACCATCGACTTGTAACTTGCTCCATGAAAACTGTTACCTGGAAAAGTGATGTTTGATGAATGAATAACCAGATGAATGAATAACTGGGACAGGGGGAGGGAATGAGCTTTAAAATTGGCTTGTGGTAGCTATAAAACCTTTGAAATAATGAAAAACAATTACTTTTTAATAAGATGCTATAGTTAGAAACATGAACTTCAATATCTGGGAATTACTCAGATATTTAATCTGGCAGGTTCTGACCAAGATTGTGGAATTTTAACATAAAAAGAAAATACTGAGACAGCATTTAAAAAAAATTGTTTTCATTAAGCAAACACATAAACTGAAGTTGCAGAGGAAGGTAACACTAAAAATTCATGCTTTCATTGAAGGTTTATTGAAATGTCTTGCTCTCTTTGAAATCTTACATGTTGCTGATTTTTTTTACAGATGATCAGTAGAATTGAATATGTGCACACAAAGAATTTTATACACAGAGACATTAAACCAGATAACTTCCTAATGGGTATTGGGCGTCATTGTAATAAGGTTAGTCCAAAGCTCTTTGTTTCCAAGCTGCAGAGGGAATGCCTGTGTGATTTGATTCCAGCTGCACAACTTTTGTAAAATCCATTGCTAAAACTGCTATTTTGGATGCTAAACCACAGTTCTTGGGTGCGAGAACTTGGTTTTCTTGGTGTCCACTTGTAAACTCTGTGGATCTCTCTCCCACTCTGGGAGATGCACTTGATTGCAAGATGATTTCTGGACTTGCAACAAGGTTATAAACTAACCCTAGAGAATACTTGACTACTTCTCTCAAGATGTCTGTTGTCATAGCATTTTATTCCTCTATGATAAAGTCAAATCTTACCTTTGGCTTTGGGGCTGACCTCCTAGGATGAAAACAATTTGTGCAACGCGGGAGCTCCTGACCTACCAGTCAGCAGGGCTTTAAACCTTGCAGTGACAGACTGGTAAAGTCTCTTCAACCATCAGAATTGTGGATAAGACCAAGAGCCAACGTGCAGATGCCTTTATAAATAAAATAAATGATGCAATTATGTTGATGGAAAACCGTTAAGCTGTAGAATACCTGCTATACAACAAAATTTTTGTCTCAGTTTACTTTGTCGGGGGGGGGGGAAGCTGAGGGGGGGTGGGGGGTGGGCTGAGGTTGTTACACTTTTTGGGATGGGTAAACATAGTCAGAAGTGCATGTTTCCTGCCTGGAAGGCAACTTTTTAATTTTATTTTTAGTTTTCTTGAGTGAAATATGCTTAATCCTGCAATTTGTATGTCGAGCTCGGGCAGACAGGCAGCATTGGCAATGCATTAAGCATGCTACTGATTAGAAATTAACTTCAGGACAAATGTATGTGATCAAGCTGTTTATTGGAAGCAAGATTCCCACTTATCTTCTCTAGATGCCATCCCAGGATGTCTCATCTGGTTAGGCACTACCAATAATCAAAATGTTTACCTTTGTTTGCCTGTATGAATGCCAACGTCAGGGCCATGAGCATTAGAAGGGGAAAGCTTGGATAATGTGAGATAACAGCTCTTGTCTGAAGAGGTGCAATGCACTGAGTGTTTAGAGACAACCAGTGTTGGAAAAACTTGTAATTCCAGCTGAAAGGCAGTCTTTATGTAATCCTGTTGCTGTTAAACTTTGTTTGTTCCCAAGTTTCATACTTTCCCTCTGTACAGCTCTATTTTTCTCTGCTGTGTTGAGCAGTTTAGGCTCCTTAATTCTCTGGCATGACTCAAAGTAGAACTTGAAAACTTTTATTTTGGTTTTTTCCTAGTTTTAGTTTCTGATTTCCAATTGTTCTTTTTGGGCCATTTTTCTATACTTTTGCACAGTCATGCTAGGTTGGCATTGCTGCACTCCAGTTCATCTTGGTGTGGATTAATGGCCTAGAAATTGCTGCTCTGCTTACTCTAGAAGAGGAACACATTAGATTTGCATCAGCTGAAATCAAAGACAGAGTTGCCTACAAACCATTTGATTTTTTCCCCTTTAGGGAGCCATGCAATGATATGGTGGTAAAGCACTGTGGGCATGGGCTTCACTTATGCTTCAGGGGGTTAGCGAGGTAGTTCCTGACCCAAGTGCAAATTAATAGTTTTACATGAGCAAAATACAAAATGGGTTCCTTCACTTTGGAATCAAGTGTTTTATCTAGGAAACATTTGCCACCGTACAATATTTAATGTTTCTTTTTGTAACCAAGTGTAGTTTTGGGGTTTTTAGAGATGACTCTACACAGTTCAAAGAAAATCAGCCACAAAGACTAGAACAGCATGGTAATCTTGTTCCAGTAGCTTCCTGTCAGTTATATTAAAAAAAAAAAAAATGAATTTTTTCCCCCCAAATTTTAATTTGGTGATTGGGGAGAAATTTTGCTCCCACCTTAAAAGATGAATTTCCAGCTCTGCTAGAAATAAGCCCTGCATGCTTATGAAAGTAAACTTTAAGGTGACTAAATGCCTTCTACCTCTTCCTTACTGAAGATTTACTTTTTCTAAATATCTTACGGGGGAAGGGCAGTTTGTGGAACCAAAGGCTGCTTTTGTAAGCAAAAACTTGAATTTCTTTTTTAATAGAGCCAAATGTCACCATTGCTATCCCTGGTTAAGGCAGTGCCATTTTGAAGCGGCTCACAGTTGAAATTCACCTTGTCCCATCTGTCAAATTTTCTCCTTGGAAAACAAAAAAAATACTACTAGAAATAATCAAAATATGACTCAAAAAAAAAAAAAAAGATGGAAAGATACAGTTTTTTTGAAAAGTACAGTGCTTGGTGGAAGAAGGATGGCATTTGGCTACCCTGTTCTTTCTCGAACGCCTCGGTGTTGCCTGTCTGCGCCGGCCAATGTTGCAATGTAAGCAAGACTGTTTGATGCACTGCCACCCTCTATTGTTTGTTCAGTGTTTAGAATCTCCAGTGGGGAAGAGGAAAAGAAGCATGACTGTTAGTACTTCTCAGGACCCATCTTTCTCAGGATTAAACCAGGTCTGAACTGTCTCCTATTCCAACCTCAACCCCAAATTCATGTGCTTTATTTTTTGTTTTGGTTTTTTTTTAATTTTTGTTTGGTTTATTTTTTGTTTTTTATTTTGTTTTTCTGGAGAATGTAGACCTTGCAAAAGCACCTCTTATGTTGGCATTATTCAGACATACTTGGCAAACATGTAACATTACTAAGATGTTTCCCTGTGGCGCTTGTTTAAATTGTGGAATTATTTCTAAACTTTGATAGGGCTAAATGTACGTGCTTGATTTCAGGTGCAGGTTTTATTTGTGGTCTTTCCAACTCAAAAGGCAATCTCCTAAAAATGTGGTGAAGGATAGACATGAAATAGTAGAGCTCCTGCTTGCCTTGCTGAAGGTTTCCTGCAGTTCATATGGATGCATGTGGAGAAGTTCTGTTATCACTTCAGCCAGACTCCTCCCCGTGCAGTTCTCCCTTCAAAATAACCCCAAATGTGTAATGAAGACTTAATATTTTCATCCATTGTGCTTAAAACCTGAAATTACTCCAATAAGTTGTGTCTTGGAGAAGCAGGAGCTTATCTTGTAGTGTCTAATGTCATATTTCTGACTCTTGAAGAGAAGATGAATTGCAGAGAGAGGAGCACATTTGCCAGTTGGTAGCAGGACAGCTGGAAATTGCAGAATATGAATCACTGCTCAGGAGCTTGGCCATTGGTCCATGGCTTTCCACAGCAGTCTCCACAGATTAAATCCCAGGCGGATTCCTGCTGTACACAAGCTGACAGGCTTCTGTTGTCTGCTTCTGAAACTTTCTTATCAGAGGCACAGACTTTGATCTACTTCTCTAGCTGCTCTTGGCAAAAATTATGCCCTACTTCTCCAGTTTCCTGCTGATAGTGCAACAAACAGAATGAAGGTGGTGTGAGGTTATCTGGGAACTGGCACTGGGACGTTCTGTGCTCATCCAAATTGGGCTGTGTCTCCCAGCTTAATTCTTTCCAGGAGGGACTCACTCCTTTGCCTTCAACCCATCCACAGGGAAATACAGACTGATCCTGAGCTAGGGAAGAGAGCAAACCTCCCCAGGGAAGCTGCTGCTCAAAAATAATAGCCAGTTACAGGTCTGTGTTGTGGACCAAGTCAGAAAATGAGGGATTGCATTCGAGGTCAGGCTTTGCTTCTAGGAAAGTCACAGCACAGCAGTCACGTAAAGCTTTATACTGTCTGCTTTGGGATTCAATATCAAATATTTCCTGGTAGCTAGGAGCATATCCGTGCTCACTGCCTGTACTGGGTGCAGCACAGCCAAGACCTACACCTTGCTGAGCTGTCTAAGCAGTGGAGTTGATTTAAAAACTTGGGTTTATGTCCCTTGCTCCAAGCATTCTGGGCTTTCAGGATTCTTTCCACCTGAACAGAAATTGTAGCACTGCAGTGCCTTGTGTTTGCACGTAAAACGTGGCAAGACTTCAACCCCAGGTTTTCTGCTCTGACACCAATAGTTTAAGAGGATTTTAACTTTGCTTTTTCCTGTCTAAGCTACTATAGTTGGTAAATCTTCTTGAATCAGAATTCTGAACCGTAGCTACTCTGCAATTCAAAAACTTTCAGTATCTTGTATACTTGATGCAGAGCTGAAATTCCTTGTTCACAGCACTTCCAGTGTGCCAGTGATACCCCCATCCTATTTCAGCATTGGATGTATTTCAGTCTCCAGTTTGACTTTAAAGATACATCTTCAGTTCTGAAGTCAACCTTAAGGTGATACTGAGTTGGTTTTTACTGAGACTTTATCAGACTTTAAATATTTTCTTTCCATGATGTTCTGCTGCCTCCCAAGTTAGTTTTGTAGTGCTGATCAGTCTCTAGGGATTGTATTTCTTTATCCTGTAGCATTAATTCAGTGTTGGAATCAGGATTTGTAGCTTGAAGTCTGAGTGCTAGAATTTGAAAGGTTCTTTATTTACTTCTTTCTGCCTCAGCTTTTTTTGCCAGGTCCTTAAATCTTGCCCAAGAAAGTACAGCCTGGATGACCCTTTGTAGGTGGGCTGGCTGGCAGCACACTGATTACCCCATACTAATTACCACACTCAGGTTGCTAAATACCAAATCATTGGGCAAGCTTGGTTATTAGAAACCCAAATTGGATCCATTCCTTGGCTCCAGCTTCCTGGCTGTGTTAAAACCAGCACGTTTGTCCTGCTGCTGTGGCAGTGTTCTGGGAGCCTTCAAGTGAGCCAAGAACAAGCTGTCTTGTTTGCTGGGGAGGGTTTTGGCCTTGTGCTCTGCAGAATGGCCACTGTTCTTTGGGACAGGAGGTTGCAGGATGTTGCCTCGTGCATTGAGCTGCCCTTCACTCCGTGTGTGTGCCCTGCTCTGGTGCCAGTGGGGTCTGGGATGTGCTTTCACACATCTTCCTCCCTCAGCAGTGCACTGCAGTCATCAGACTGCTGTAGGGATAGAAAATAGTGGTAGAACTAAGCTCCAGAGGCTGAGTAGCACCACCTAATCCATTGCAAGGGATTGAGAAAAGGCTTGAACTAATTCACCATTGAGTTTTTAACTGACTAGTTAAAGCTGGTTGCGCCTCTGCACTGTTACTTTGCTTCTTTTAACTGTAGGCTGTTACATTGTCTGGGTGTCTTAAAAACATAGCTAATGCCTAGTGAAAGAAGTTGGGAATTTGGGGAATTGGCCAGTAATCTAACCTGTTTTCATTTCTCTTGAAGTTATTCCTTATTGACTTTGGTTTGGCCAAAAAGTACCGGGACAACAGGACAAGGCAACACATACCATACAGAGAAGACAAAAATCTCACTGGCACAGCTCGATATGCCAGCATCAATGCACACCTTGGCATTGAGCAGAGGTGAGTGCAACGTTCTGGAAGGGTGCAGGGTGATCTTTGCAAACTTCTGGGGAGTCTGAACTCATTTTGTATGAAAAGTGTATCCATCTCCTTGCAAGTGTCCTTCCTTTTGGCTGCCTGTGCAGGGATAGGGGGGAAAATCCAAGCACCTAATTTGCTTCTTGAAGAGACTGTGTGTCTTGCAGACGTCAAGTGGATGTTCTGCATATTATTTTGGCTTTTTAAAGGCTAAGCCACACTTTGATGTGGGTCTGTCAGAGGCCCTTGACACATAAAATGGTGCACTTTGCTGATGTGTTGGTACCTGTTGGCAGCACTGCTGACTGGCTTGAGAGGCCTTTCTGGAAGCAGAAAGGGTGTTCTAAAGCTGGTGTCTGGCCTGTTTTCTCACTCTCCAACTTAATAAACCATTATTTCTCCTTTTGCCTGCGAGCAAGACTTACATACCTTCAGTCACACGGTATTTTAGTTTCATGTCCATATTTACACGTGTGTGTGGATATATTTATTGGAGCTTTGCTTAATCAACAAACACATTTTTATCTTCTGGATCAAAGGCATTTTCTTCCTACAGAATCCTAGTATTTTCTAGTGGAGAGAGAACTTCAGGTTGTTTGGAAGTATAAGGTATCTATGGGATATCAAGGGATGCCTCTCTTCCTTACATCTGTGCCTAAAAATTGTATTGGATGACTGAAGAGTGTGGCTTTACCTCTCTTGGATAGTTAAAGTTTCCAGGAATGTCTGTGCCTCTGACCTTTGTGTTAACCAAGGTGGAAATGACAGAATTTCTCATGGTCAACTTCAACAGAACATGTAACCCACAAATGATGCTTTAAAATGCTCCATGTTTCATTTTTTACTTTAATTTCCTTAAGGTTCCTTCTGGGTATTTTATTGTCTGTCAGTGCCATTATTTAAGCCAGTTTGGCATGTGGCTCAGGGAGATAATGACAGGTGTCACTTCTGAAATAAATGCATTTCACAGATCCCAAGGAGTTCTGGTAAAGGAGTATCTGTGCTTGCACCTGAGAGTAAAGGAGGGATCTCCAAAGGATGTTGCTTTAGAATTTAGTTGGGCACCAAAAATTGAATTTAGTTGGATTTTACACCATATCTGATGGTAATGGGAATTCTGTTATAATTAGAAATGTAGGTTGGTGCTTGCTAAAAGCTGCTAAACTGTCTAGGTCAAGCTAGCAGTGAAGCAAAGAAGTAATGCATTCCTGTAATCAAGAGAAACCAGTTCTGGAGCTTATGGCAGAATATTTCAACCTCTACTCCTGTACTTTTAACTGTTAGAGAACATGTTTTCCTACAGGTAATGACAGCTATGCTCAAAGAGCTGTTTGCAGTGGTATTTATCTTAATAATGGAGAGCATTGTCCTGTTTTCCAAATCCTGAAAACTACTTTTATCAATATATTGTAAAAATGTACCCATTACAGATTTACAGAACTAAATGTTTCCTACTACAAGATCGTGGCATTTAAACATTGAAACAATGAGCTGGATGGGGGATGGATACTCTTAATCCTTTATTGCCTCTGAATTTACCACTGCCTTCTCAGAAAACATAATTTTATGTCATGGCCCTGTACAGGGCCACTGAATGCTGTTGGTGATTAGAATCTGCAGTTCTAATGGAATTAGCAAGTTTTGCAGACTGGAATCTGTGGGCTCAGTATCATTTTTCAGCCCTTTGTCTGCGGTTTCATGTTGCAGCTGAGATGATCTAAGGGGAGGGAACCAATCCCCTCTTCCCTGGGCACGGCAGAGCTTTTCTGGCCTTGTGCTAAAAGCTTTAGGGAGCCAAGCTGATTTTCCCCTGGGATGGCTTTGCTTTGTTCCCCAAAGGGTCACAGGGCTGGCCCATGAGTGAGGGGGTGCCAGGCTGTTCTGTTCTATTGGCTGGGCTAGAACACAAAAACATCACCAACTCCTTTCTTCTCCTACCAAGATCTGCAGATAGATCAGGTTAGAGCCTGTTCCCACTTCTGGGGAACTGTTTTCCCCCTCACCTTTTTGTGTAATCCTGTTTGCAATTCCACTGTCAGCCTTTTGATCCTTGTTGGGGTAGGAGATGTGGAGTCTGTCCTGCCATCCTGTAAATCCTTTTTTGTGTGAGAGAGCAGCAGCAAAACCCACCAGCTTGTTCCCATAAGGGAGCAGGGAGGAGAAAAAGAAGTTACTTTTTTGCCTCATATTAAATAGATGTCAGCTGCAGAGGGGCAGTTAGAGGAAAAATCGGATTTTACCACAGCTGGGAAGAGGCAACTTTGCCAAGAGGAAAAAAAAAAAAAATCCTGGAGTGTGTTTTCCACTCCAGTGAACTGTGCTGCTCTTGGTGCTCAGGAAAGCTGTGAGCAAAGTACAGTGGTGCTCATGTGGCCAGAGTGGGGCGGTGGAACATGTGCAGGGCAGAAAGCATTTGAAGCCTTATGCATGAGAGTTTGTGCCAGTTCCCAGTGAGGTCTGTGCTGGATCACTTTGGAGTTCTGCTGCCTTGGAACAGGTTTTCATGGGAAGAAGGCAGAGGCACCTCTCAGATTGATTCATAAATATTGCTGCCTTTTAAAGTCAGAGGCAGCTCAGGGGGTTTTGACAGAAGGCAAGGAAGAAAGGAGCAATGCCCCTTAGGGACCAGGTGGTCAGGATTGATGTCAGACTGAGCCAAGGTTCAGGGAAAAATGTGACAGACAAGATGTTACAGCCTTACTGACCTCATTAACCTCATTCTCTCTTACAATGCATTCCATGGTTCCTGCAGGAAAATCTTCAGTTTCTACCCAAGTTACTTAAGAAGGCAGGAAGGACATTTCTTGTTTCTTTTCTTTTCATTTTCCAAAGTTTTTGTTTCCCATATCAGTGTAATTGCAGATGGAAGCTTAGAACACACAATACCTACAGCATATTCCTTGCTTAAAAAATGAATAGGATCTCTTCCTGTCTTAGGGTTCTGTTAGGCTTTATTCCTGAACTATTTTTTTAATTTAAATTACTGAATGCTAACACTGTGGAATAAAGTAAGAAATGCCAGAATTTGTAATTCCTTGTGTTTTTTCTCCTGCAGTCGTCGGGATGACATGGAGTCTCTAGGCTATGTATTGATGTACTTTAACAGAACCAGTCTGCCTTGGCAAGGATTAAAGGTAGGTTATGATGCCTTTTTTTCCCTCCCCCACCCTTTTAATATTTTTTTTTTCATGTTTGGGTAGCATGCTTCTGCCTGTCAGGTGGGTTTGTATAATGTTTAGCCTCAGTTGTACAAAGCAGCTTTTCCCAAAGCTTGATATTTATAGACTGTGGATTCTGCCTCTCACGCAGCAGGCAAAATGTGCATTGTTGGACTTGTCTTAAAATCTATGCTAAACAATAGCTGACATCATCTTTGCCAGTTATTGTCCTGTTGCAGGCTGAGGCCCCTTTGGGAAATAAAAAATAACATTGTTAGTGGCTTTTTGAATTGCTGGAGAGAGCATGGAAATAATCTCTTGCCTGGCAAGTTCAGCCTCAGTGGTATCTTCAGGTTATGGCACAGCTGAATAATTATTAACTGCAGCAGGCTTGTTCAGGATTTCCATGTATGGGAGCCAGCTACAAATGTGGCAGACATTTCTTGTTTCACTTATTCAGACTCCAATGATTGGTTTTCATGTTTTAATTGTTTTTCTTTCTTCGTGTGAGAGTTGTGTAATTCCAATGGTGTTGCAGCTGCACAGTTTCTAAAAAGGCAGCAGCTTGTGGACCACTGGAACTCCTCAGCTGCAAATGAATGTAAAGGGTGCTGAAGCACCAGGCAGCCCTGAATGGGGCACTGAGAGGGAATTAATACAACTTTGGCAAATGTAGCTGCAAGTCTGTTGTGGTTAATGCACAAAAGCAGCAGCCAGACCTACACGAGCTGTGCCATGTGATGGAAGCATTAGACTGCGACAAATGGTATTAAACTGTGGCCAAATCTTAATACCAGATTGACCTTCATTCTCTTTGCAATAAGTGTGTGGGACTTGGAGATTTCACATAAAATACTTAGGGTTGACCAAAGGATTTTTGTCATTTTTTTTTTGCTGCTGTCCTTGTTAATCCAGTGTTGCACAATATCTCTTATATTGTGACCTACATGTTCCACAGGCTGCAACAAAGAAGCAAAAGTATGAAAAGATTAGTGAAAAGAAAATGTCCACTCCTGTTGAGGTTTTGTGTAAGGTAAGAGTTTCCAAATGATGTCACACTGTGAAATGGAAATTCTTTTCTTGTTTGGTTTGTTGTTTGTTGTTTTTTTCCCTAAACTCGAGCCAATATATTAAATAGCCTCACATGGCATTTGCTGCTGAATAATACTGCTTTGGCAGGCACTGGGTGCCTTGTGTTTGGCCACCCAGCAAGACTGGGAATGCGTGTACAGGGCAGCATTTGCTGCTGCTCCTTGGCAAAGTTCATGCCACCATCATTCAGGTCTTGGTGACTGTTGGGTGTGTGAGCTCCCAGCTCTCTTACACGAGGCTTGTTCAGTTTTTCAACATTTACAGTGCAAGTTTGCATCAGAAGTAAATAAGTAACCAAGGTGGAGCTGTCTGGCTTGCCCACATCCACTTTCTGCCTCTCCAGGAGGGTTCATATTGTCTGCCCATACTCAAGTAGTGGATCTAGTGGAATTGGATGCAAGTGATCTTTGTTTTTCCAAGGTTTTCCTTTGAGTCTTAAGATTCCTCTTGCACTGTGGCATCCAAGTGCTTCCTAACAAAGATCCTTGAGAACACAACAGGGCTTGTGCCCTTCAGACAGCAGCACCAAGGATTGCACTTTCCAGTCCTGCACATCTCTATCCTCAGAGTCTGACAGCATCTCCCAAGCTGCTGAACTGTTCATGGAATGGTTTGGGTTGGAAAGGACCTTAAAAATCATCCAGTTCCAACCCCCTGCTGGGGACAGGGACACCCTCCACTAGTCCAGGTTGCTCAGAGCTCCATCCAGTGTGGCCTTGAACTTCCAGGGATGTTACACCCTATGATTTTTTACAGCACTATTCCGTGTGCTATTACGTGTTACAGGCAGGCTTTCATACAGCATTAAATGTTTAAAAACATAAAGCAGAAAATCTTTGAACAAGTTTTCATAATTTAAGTTTTCACACTTAATGCTTATTAACTGACCTTGTCTCTACAATGTTCAAGCAGATTATCAAGGAAACAAGAATTAATCTCTTACCAGATAATTATCATTATTTGAGAGAGTTAATAAGAACAAGGTTTAATTAGGATGAGTAGTGTGCTTTATAAATAAGTTAAATGTTGAAGGTTCTGGTAGCAGAGAGCTTATGTTTGCAAACCACCCATGAGGTAACAGTTCTGGGGAAGGAATGTGGACCTGTGCAAATCCACATACTGAACTACAGAACACATTAACACTAGGGGCAAAGTGGAATTAATTCATGATCTTCAGCCAGTTTTCCTCTGCTGTTAGAGACAGATGTACAACTTTTTGCCTTTGTTAGAAGGTTTTTGCTGCGAGCCATGGCTTGATTAACACTGTTGATTTCCAGGGGTTCCCTGCAGAATTTGCCATGTATCTGAACTACTGTCGTGGCCTGCGCTTTGAAGAGGCACCAGATTACATGTACCTGAGGCAATTATTCCGTATTCTTTTCAGGTCAGTCTCCAAGTGGAAAAGTACAGAAACTTCTCAGGGATCCAGTTGGGAACTGCTCTGTGGGACTGGCACTGCAGAGAGCAGCTCCTGTGTGTGTGGTATAGGGAGTTCTTCTGGGACTCCCTTTCATTTCAGAGCTTCAAAAGCTGTTTAAAGGACCCGAAAATTATTGTTCAATGTTAAACATAAAGGGAAAAGATTCTCTTGTTTTTGCATTGTGTGATGTGACCACAGGGTTGAGCCCATGCTTCAGGTTCTGTTGCAAGTACCATAAGAAGTTGACCCCTTGGTAGAAGTCTTTGAAGCTTTTTATATTTGGAAATTGGTGCTGGGCCCAGCAGTGGTTCCCAGGAGAGAAATTTCAGTGGAGGAGAATAGTGCTGCTTCATTGAGCTCGTTAGAGCAACTGGAACATAAATTCCACCTTGTGTAGTGAACAGCATCTGTCAAAAGAAGGGCTGGTACTGATCTCTGGAGTCTCCCCTCAGGTTTCTGGAATCCAAAGAATTCCTATTCAGTGATGTACAATACTGCAGTCTTTCCTTGAAATTATATCTATATAAAAAAAAAAAAATGCTCAGAAGCTGAGTGCAGGCAGTGGGTGAGCTGGGCTGGGAAGGAAGTGCTGCTTCCACAAGCACAGACCTTTGTGTAAGCAATGAGTAAACTCTGCTGGCTGGCATTTGGGCTTGCTGCAAGAATCCCTTTAAGTTAGTAATACTTAGCATTTCTATACCATTCATAATCTCTAAAGCAGCTTAGGGAAGGAGCTATCCCCTAGTTTTGGGATTCCAGGCAGGGCTTGGTGTTAGCTCGGGTGTGTTACAGCAGAACATCTCCCTCTCTTGCAGGACCTTGAACCACCAGTATGACTACACATTCGACTGGACAATGTTAAAGCAGAAAGCAGCACAGCAGGCAGCCTCTTCCAGTGGGCAGGGGCAGCAGGCCCAAACCCCCACAGGCAAGCAAACTGACAAATCCAAGAGTAACATGAAAGGTTAGTAGCCAAGAACCAAGTGACGTTACAGGAAAAACAAAAATTCCACGAATTTGGACAACGGCGGCAATTTCAAGTGTTAGATCAAGGAGGTGGTTTAAAAACTACATTTGGCTCTTAAATTCAAAAGCAAAACCAAAAGACGTCCTTGGAGAATTTGACTACTAACTTTATACCAAAATGTCCTTGTTATTCATATCATTTCTTCTGGGGATATTGGGTCATTTTTAACCACTGCATCTTTTGCTCCCGCATTAACCACTTTCCAAAAACAAGAAACTGACTTGGTGTTGGGAATGTGACATTTTTATTTATTTTGATTTATATATATACATATATATGTCCTTATATATGTATAAATATATAATGCAATCCAAAATCCTAGACCTAACACTTTTTAAGGGATAATTCTCATTGACCGGGCAAGGATCTAGAGACTTTGGGTTCTGCTCTGTGGCAGCTGGTACAGTGCTGTGGGTTTGCTTCTGTTCTGTATGCCTCCAACACTGGGAACAGAAAATTGTGACTGCTCTGGCTTCCTCCAGTGGGTTTACATTGAGACATTTGGTCCAGAGTACCAGGAAGGGACCAGTGAGCTCAAAATGCCTTGTCTAAATCAAGCAGTAACCCCAGACTGCTGTGGACTGCCAACTCACAATTTTCTGAACTATCTGGGTGCTCTGGGGTGGGGCTTCAGGTTTCCTGATGACTTTTTGATGGTTCTGGGTTATGGTTTCAAAGGGAAATGTTGTGACATGTTCAAATGTAATTGTGTAATAACTGAAAACTGAATTTGAAGAGACACATCAGTTTTTTTTTTCCACGTGGTCTAGAAGCTTTTAAAATATTTTTTCTGTGTGTGTGATGCAAATGTGCTGGTGTGAGTCTGGTAAGTCCCTAGGATGAAACTGCCACATTTGTGCATTTTTGAGGCAGTCCTGCCATGAAACCAATTCCTGCAGCTGAGCTGTGGATAAAATTGAAACTAATGAGATTGTGTGACTGAAAATAGAGAAACAAGGTTTAAATTCTGTACTGGGGCATTGCTGCTCTTCAGTACCTCTTGTCTGTCATTTTTATATGTATAAAATTACATACTTGCTAACATGACAGTCCTGGAAATCAAAGAAATGCAGAAGTGTTTGCAATAAACTTAAACATTGTTCTTCACGTATTGTGGCAGCATTCAAACATTACCAAGTGTCTTTAGTCAAAATAGCTATCAAAAAAACACATTTTGTTCAGAAGAAATGAGGTATTGAAACACCTGGTGCTTTTCCCAAGATTGAAGTGGTTCTTGAAAAAAGAAACAAAACTCAGAGATGCCATTTTTGGCATAGAGTGGCTGGATCTGATAGGGTGGAAACCAGTTCCTGCAGCTGCAACACCAGTAGCAGACTGGGTGATTAAGCACCTGGGCATGGATTGCTTCCTGAAATAGAGAAACTCTGACTGAATTCAGAACCCAGCCCTGTTTGGGGTGTGGAGAGGTTGGCTGTTCAAGCAGGAGAAGATAATTGGAGCAAAAATGCACATTCTTCACAACAGCTCACACTCAAAGTGAAGGCTTTGCAGGAGGTGATGATCTCTAAGTGGAACCTGTCCTGAAAATCAAGTTGTGAGCTGCTGAAACGCACTTTTGCTGAAGTGTTCTGAGGTTTAATGTGCTGCTCTCCTGGCTCAGACAGTCTCTGCCCGAATGCTGTGTGTGAAGAAAGAAAAGGTCATTAAAGTGATTATCTGCCTGCACCTTGAAGTGATGCTTCAGTGCCAGGGAGCAGAGCTGAGCTCACTGCCAGGGATGAGCAGGGAAGCTTTGCCATGGAGCCTTAGATAATTTCTATTCACTGATTTACATTCCTTATCACACTGTCCTTTGGGAGAGACCCCTTGCTACAGCTAAGATGAAATTCCTGGGGTTTCAGCACAGTTTTGTTAGGATTTTTTGGGGAATGACTCTCTTCTTCCCTCCCCATCGAGAAAGGACCTTTGGATTGATCAAGCTGTAATGTCAGCAGAGCATTAAAGAAGTGCTTGGCAAACACCTGAAGACTTCAGAGGCTTCATCTCTTCATCAAAGTAAAGATTTCCAGAGTCCTAAAATCCTACATGTCTTTTTGTGGGGAATTCTGCCTGTTAATGAAGATTTTTTTGAACCCAGCTAAGCTGAAGGAGGAGCCTGTGTGCCTTGGATGCTCTGTCACACTGGAGAGGATGAAATACCCGATTATTTTTTCTGGAGTTCAGTTAAATTCTTCTGTAGTTGCTGTAGCAAAGCCTGTGTGGAAGCGGCTTAAAACGCTTCCAGGTATCAAATGTTAACTCTGTGGTAACTCTATCCATTGAACAGGAGTCCTGCAAATAGCAATGTACAGGTGCAGTTATTTGTAAAGTGCTGTGAAGATCTGCATCTGGGCAGGGTGGGCCAGAGGAGGACAGACTCAGATTGTTTGCCCAATGTGCTCATTAACAGATATTAATGGCTTCCTTAACTCAGATACATGCTAAATCATCAGTGAATCCTAGAATTTATCCAGCCTAAATACTCTGCTTGGTTCCAGAATAACCTGTTCTGTCCATGGCCTTTTTTCTCTCCAGTTGTTTTTTTTTTCCCTGCCCCTCTCTGGAACTGTGTGCAGTGTCTTTTGTAACAGCCAGATCAGCTGGTTTGGAACTTGGAGAGGTGAGCTGTTCCAGCAGACAGAGCTCTGCTGACTCGGGCAAGTTGTGCTGCCTCTCTTTTGCCAGAGCAGCAGTTGTTCAGGTGTGATTTGTAACTGTGCTTACACTCAGCTTCCCTCAGTCATAAAAGTGACTCAAGCAGTCAATCTGCAGGATAAAGTTTACCAGGTCCATTTGGGAGAGGTGTTTTTAACTCCTGGCAGTGGGGATTCTGTGAGGCTGTCAGCAGGTCCAGTAATATTTGCTGGATGCCTGTGGTGGTGGCAGCATTGCTCAGAACAAACTGAGACTTCTCTGCTTGAGAAATAGAATTATTGACACCTGAATCCTTCTCACTTGCTTGTCTGGAGGAATGGAGAATACACAACGTTGGAGCATTTCAAACTGAGGAGGTTTTTAGGGAACTACATTGCAGTTGCTGCTCCCCTGTCAATCAGATCTTCAGCCATGGAAATAATAAAGCAATTTGAGGATCCCTCACATAGCACAGAGATTTTCAGAGGTTTGGGTAACACCTCAGAGGGACAAGGAGTGATGATTTGGCCCTGTATGGAGTGAAGATCTGTGGAAGAGATGCCACCATGAGCTCTCCAGCATGTTCCTCATGCCAGCAGTGCTCTGTGTGCTCTGAGAATCTCCATCTCGTCTGACAGATGTGGTTGGGCTGTGTCTTTACAGGTCTTTGCAGAGACATCTTGAGTAGAATCCAGTTCCTTGTTGCTCTCTGTAGCTGGACATTCTTCTGCCCAAATTACCTTGGGTTTGAGGAGTTCTAATAGCAGCAGATCATTTGGTAGGATGTCCTTTGTCCTCAGGGTCAGGCTTCAATTTCTTGTGAAATATTCAGACTTTTGAAGCAATGAGTTGATCTGTTTCTTTCCACACTCTCCTTTGTTGACTTTGTTTTGGCTGCTTTGATGGAGAAAGTGGTTCAAAAGATGAATCAGTGTTCTCTGAACACACTAAATGGAAAAACAGCATAATTTTTGGTTGTGTGCATTAAGTAAGGATTAGGGAACTCGGGAGTCTCAGGGCTTTCTGTGGGAATTTGCACTCAAGTGGGAGTGGCTGTCTTGATTCTGGCGCAGGATTTTTTTTTTTTAATATGACCAGTGCTGGATAAAGAATTATCCCTCAGTGCATTACACTGGGTTTGAAACGAGTTATTAAACCTCTTTGAAATTACCTGTAGCTAGTTCTGGAAGAGTTAAAGCCATTTCCTGGGTGCTCTCCAGATACATTTTGGACAGAACGTGAGACCAGTAAGACTTGTTTGCACTTGCTTCTCTCTGGATGACAGCACAAGCTATAGCTGAGGTCAGCTCTGTCTGTATTTCACTGAGAAGAGATTTCTGTTGCAAAAACTCGGAGTTGTTGATGTGAGGAACTCGCCCATGGCCAGAACCATCCTGTCTGGAGAGCATCCAGAACGGAAACTCGCTTGGCAGGGCCATCTTGGGTTGAGGCTGCTGTTCCTCTGTAGAGCACAGCCCTGCCACCTGAGTCACCAGAAAGCAGCACAGAGGGAGGACTGGCTTAGCCTGCAGCTCCTGCTTCATGGAGATCTGTGTGTATTCCTGTCCTCTCCCTGTCCCCCAGTGTCCTCTGGAATTGGGAACATGAAAAGAACTGCTGCGTGTGCACCGCCTCCCCTGCCCTGTGTGTCAGCACTGGTCCTTGCAAAGGCTGAGGTGTGTGTGCTGCTTCTCCAGGCAGTGTCACAGCTCCTGCCTTGCTGTGGCTGCCCAGAGTGCTGCTGTGGCTTTGTGGTGGCAGCAGTTACTGGGAGCTGAGTGATCCCTGCCTGCCTGGCCGTGTGACACTGCCGTGCTGCGTCTGGAGAGCGCCCGCAGTCAGATGACAGCTTGACATTCAGGGGTTATAAACATGAGCCACTGCAGACGAGTAGAAAACAATCCTATGAAATTACATCCTGTTTCCTAGTGGCAATAACACAGCTTGTTTTCAAAGTGCTGGGCTGAATTCCTGCTGGAGCAATGTGCATCCAGCTGCTGCACTCAGCCCGTTGCCCAGCGCAGCAGTAGGTGTGAGTGAGAGGTGTGTGAGCTCCAGTGCTGGTTACCTTTGGAGATGGACACCAGGAACTCTGCAATTCCCAGGTGGAGCAGCATTTTCCCCTTTGAATGACCATAACTGCTGTTCAGTTTTCCTCCTGTGAATGCTGTTGCTCCTTTCCATCCCGTATCAGTAAGTTTGCCCTTGTGTTTATCTTGCAGGTTTCTGAGCATGACGAGGATGGGACAAAGCAGAGCAGATCGGAGCAGGACTTGTCACTCCCCAAATCCTAGAAATTTTAGTTGATACACTTGCCAGTGGCTGTGGGCAACCATTTCCTTGGTGTAAAGAACTTAATATCAGTATAAACTGGCTCTGGGCAGTGTCAGTGATGCTGCACTTTGAGTTGTAGCAGCTGTAATTGTGAATATTACTGAGATAGTGAAACATGGTGTCCAGTTTTCTATTGCATTTTTTTCAAGTGGAAAAGTTAACTAATGGTTGACACACAAGTGGAGAAAATTGTGCATATGCCAAGTTTTGTTACCTTTTTACTTTGAACTACACTGCTTATGAGATCTCATTGTTTTGGAAGAATGGCATGAACAGTCTTCAGCAACAGTTGTGATAATTGTAAATGCTCACAATTGTGCACTCTTTTCTGGTTATTCCTCCCTGGGTTTTGAAAGTTGTACACTTAAAACATTCTTAAAGTTGTTGGCTTCTATGTGCAACATACCAAGCCAGCTGACATGGTAGTAACCAAAGATTCCAGTTTTTAAGCATATGAAAGACTCTGCCTGCTTACCTGTGCTAGAAATAACAGCATCTAAAGTGAAGACTTAAGAGAAACTTAGCGACTACTAGATAATCTTTAGGACTCTGCATTAACTCTATAATGTTCTTGGTATAAAAGGAAAAACAGCATATTTGTCACGAAATTTAGTTAACATCTTACAACTGAACCTGTATGTAAGTTGCTTAGATAAATGTAATCACTGTAAACATCTATATGATCTGGGATTTTGTTTTTATTTTGAAGCGGGAGCTTTTTTGTTTACAAGTTCATTAAAAACTAAAAACTGTTTCTGTAAGGAAATGAGATTTTTTTAATTTGCCTTGTTAATTCAGTTTAAGAAATTTACATTACCCTGTTTTTAAACCAACTTTAAGGCCATTTGTTAAGCAAAAGAAGTCATATTTCTTTCTAAATCATTTTAGATTTAGTGTTGTAACTCTTCCTCATTTTGTTTTTAAATAAATTTTGTATTTTTTCCTTGAGGGGGAAGGGGCAGTCTTGCATTTTTATAACCTCTTGTTTGAGACCAGCCCTCTACAATAAGATTGGAATTTTTAAAAACGAAATGGCATCTTTTGCAGACCCAGGATTGGCAGCCTCCGAGCAGTGCCATGTCCTGCCTCGGCTGGACTGACTTGTGATTGCTGCTTTGGACAAAAAATTGGAATGCTTTGAAAAAAAATTTGGATGGTTTGAAACCAAGGCATTTTCTTTCAAGTTCTTGTGAAGTGGATATGACCAGATTTCCTCTTGTTCTTGGGGGCAGCCTCGCACCATGCAGAGTTCACATTGGTTACTGCCCCAGGCTGTCTTCCTTCTCACTCCTATTCTAGCCCAGCTGAAAGAACGAAATACTTTTATTGCTGGTAATTCTTTAACAGTGTAATTTATTCCTTTATAGCATGTCAGAATAAATTAAAAAAAAAAAATGTCTGAAAATGCTGCCAGATGGCTATTGTGTAAATCTTGTCTGTATGTTTGCTTTCTAGACAGTTTTCATGCATGGAGCAGAGTTCCCGCTCACAGTTCATCTTTTTTACTGTTGGAAAAGATCTTTCTTTCCTTTTGAAAATAATTTCCTCAGGATCATAAGACGCTGCACGCTCCTGGAATGGTGATGATGTGGATCAAGGCTCCTTTGTACTCTGTCCAAGAAGGGTCTGCCCTGAGATGTTAAACTTTAGGTGGAGAACGCTGTGTGCTAATCATAATAAATAATAAACGCTGGGCTAGCTAATCAGGCAGGCAGGGCTGGGCTGCAGAGATAGCAGCTCACACTGGGAGCTCCTGAGGCACAGCAGGCTCTGCTGCCCGCCAGCTACAGCAAGGAATGGAGCTCATTCTCCTGGCCAGGATGCTTTAACAAACTCTGAGTATTGCCCCATCCAAATAAGGATGGTTTTCAAGCAATGCCTCCTGTGAAAACCAGGCTGTTTGTAGGAACTGGTATCTAGAGCACTGTGAGATGTCCTTATCCATGATTTCTGCTGTCTAGGCAACGTGTCTGACAACACACGTTGGCAGGAGGGGAGGAAGCATCAATGAAATGCCTCCTTGGCAGCTGTTCTTGGAGAGGCTGCTCGGAATTGTCGTGGCATCGCTTTTCATGCTCTGACATGAGATACTTGCTGAAAAGTTGGAGAAAATAATTTGGTTTCAGGAGAATAAATTATTTTCTCCGTCTGTTGAATTTGCTCGTGACTTTGAGGGGGGTTTTGGAAACAGAGCTGCTCTTGATGAGCTCTGCAAGGGAGAGTAAATAAATGTAGGGTGTCAAAATGCATTGGTTTGTAGTTTGGGGAGCTGCAAGGGCTGTGGAGGAGCCTGGAGCTCAGCCAGCCTTGCAGATGTGTGGGAACAGAATTTGTTTCTGCACAGGAGCGTGGGCCAAGTGTTTTGCATCGCCAGCCTGTGCCAGATGTGCTGGCCAGGGCACGAGATGCCCACCTTCCTTAAACAGGCACCAAACACCCGTTTGCTGCGTGTTCTCCTTGGTTTGTAACAAAGACTACAGCCTGAAGGATTAAAACTCTGGATCCTGACTTCTGCTGGCACCTCTGCAAACGTTTTTGTGTGGAAAGAGATTCACCTGCCGAGTCAAAACTTCTGCAAGCAGTCCGGGCCCTTGAGAAGGAACCAGCATTTGGACAAGAGGCTCTAAAGCTCAAGACCTGCAGCCTCGTGCTCCCTGGAAAGTGCCAGAATTTGGGTAATGACATTAGGCTGTGACAACAGCTCCTTAGTCATCTCACTAAGCTGCGTCCAGGCTCTCAAAGCAATTTATTAAACCTTAGAACGACTCCGAGAGGCTTCCCAAGGCCACCTTTTAAAGGATTGCTTAACTGGGAGCACGGAGTGCTCATGTGCAGAGTACTGCTTCATTATTTTTAACCTATTTAAGCCATTCCTTGTTAGAAGCAGTTGAGAGCCTCTTTCTCTTCTCCTGGAAAGGCTCTGAGGAGAGACAGCTCTGGCTCCCAGTTCTGCCAGCGTCACTCCTTGGCTGCTCCCCTGCGTGGTGTTGGTAACAAGTGACAAACACAACCCCTGGCTGTGTTAAAAACTCTTGATGTGCCTGGTAGGTCTGGAGCCTGTCCAGCATGTGCCACACTTTGTTTTTTTTTCCCTCCCTGATTTCTATGCAGTTGTGTCTCTCCGGGGGTTATTTTTCAAGCTCAAGCTTTGCCTCGCTGTTGCAGTGTTGTGCCTGTTCTCTCTTGGCTTTTTTAGGTGTTTTTTTTTCTTTTGCTTTGTGCTGGGGTTTTCCTGTACTGAGGTGCCTCAGTCCAGCCCCACTGCCCTGGCCAGGAGCTTGGGCTGGGGCTGGCTGCCTCCCTGCAGTTCCTCCCGTGTGGAATCTTTGCCATCCCAACTTGACTTTTTGCACGAGGCTTTAATTCCCCTTGACGGCGTTCTCCAATTTAGAAGATTGGTTGCTTAGCCAGCTCCATCAGCCCCATCTGCTCCTGCCTTAATTGCAGTGAAATCATCATGATTTCATACCAGCTTGATGTCATAGCACACGGTGAGCACGGCAGGCTGCAGACAGAGAGGAAAGCAGAGAGAGGAGGAGCTGCCTGGCCCTGGTGCCTCTGGAAGGATGGCACAGAGCAAATGCCCTCCCTGCTCACAGTGAAGGACTGTCCCTGGCTGTTCTCATGTGGAAATGGCTCTTGAATGTGACCCTCCTTAGAGCCAGGAGCAGCAGGAATGGAGAAGGGTGGGAGGAATCGAGCTGGGGCACAGCTGCAGTGATGAACCTTCCAAGCACGCCCAGGTCTCTGTCCCTCTCTAATGTACCACAGCGAGCTCAGCTGCTCGCTGAGCTCTGCAAAGCTCCGTGCTAAAGGTGTAAAATCCGTTCCTCCGAGATGCTAATGTGACTTTTTACATGAGAGATGATCTTCCGTGTGGCTGTGGGTAGTGCTGGATTTCGGTAGCTGGAAATCGGGAGGAGCCAGGGAATAGTCTCACAGCAGACTCGGGTTGTTTGGGTTTTCAGATATTTGTGTTGATAAGTTACTGAAGGTTGATGTAGCTCCTTCCTCAGGGAAAAACTTGGTGTTTTGGTTTCAGGGACTGCTCCTGGAAGTACCTGAGCACGCTCAGCCCTCCCCGTTCTGCCTGCCTTGTGTTCCTGTTGATAATGTGGGTTGTTTTCTGTAAACACAGCTGATTAACTGCATTTCTTTCCCCCTCTGAGTTTGTAGGAAGGCATGGATGTGCCTGGCTGGAGGAGAAGCTCTTCCAGAGCTGTGTGTGCACCTCTGGTGTCCCAGGAGCTCCGAGGCTCCTGCTGCTCCCTGTCCCCACCCTGGCAATGACACCGAGCCAAGGCTGTTTTGCAGGTGGCAGACTTTGAACTTGTTTTGAATGGAAGCAATTTGAGCTGCTCAGGAGGCTTTGAAGGAGCGTGCATGTTGTCCTACAGGGTGGACTGGCTTGTGAGCTTCCCTGCTGCTCCCAGAGCCCCTACGTGCCTGATAAATTCAGCCTTCATTTTACAGCCCTGTAAATGCCCAGGGCAAGAGCCTGACTTGGCAAAATCCTGTGCCTGGCAGAGGTGCGGCAGGGAATTTGTGTGACTCAGCTTCGTGGGACTTCATGAGCCACCAGAGCAGGGCCACGAGGACCAGATCCTCCCTGGGCCTTCCTCATACCTGGGGTGGGTCCCTCGTGCTCTGTGCTCCGAGCAGGGCACTGGGACTTTTCCAAAGGAGACCATCGTGGGTTTAACTGGGAATCTGCAGGGCTGAGCTTGCCCTGCTGTGTCTGGTTCTCCTGAGCTGCTGCACTTCCTTCTCACAGGGTTTTAACTCAGCACTGTGGATGAATTCAAGATTCTTGAGCCCGTTTCTGGTGACTGCAAGGATTTGACAAATCCAAGTGGGCACAGAGGGCACCAGGACCAGCCTGGGGCTGGCAGCTGGCTCTGCTTGAGCAGCCAGACCAAGCTGGGTGGCCTCTGCTGATGGCATCTGCCAGATCCTCGCCTGGTGGGAGCCATGGGCAGGGCTTTGCCCAGATGGGGCACGGAGGAGCAGGGATTGTTTCCCTGCCTTGGCAGCTACAGTCAGGCAGTGGGGGAGGAGAGCAGGGAGGTGAAGGCAGAAACTGGTGCAAGTCCTTTGAGCTGAGAAAAATCACTTAGGCAGCAAATAGAATCCTTCTCATGTGCCGACAATTTCCCCCAGGCACCGCCCTGCCTCGTGCTGAGCTCTGGCTTCCTCCTCCTCCTCCTCCTCCTCCTCCTCCTCCTCCTCTCTGGCTGGAGTTGGGCCAGGGCTGTTTGTGCCACTGGCTCGGGGTCACCCAGGCGGGCAGAGCCTGTGGACAGCTCCAGGAGGGTGGGCACGGTGGGTGGGTGTTAGTGCCCCTTCATGGTGCCACTCCTGCTCCATGGAGCAGCAGACAGAGCCAGAAATCCCTGCTGACACACCCTGGCAGCACCTGCCTTCCTTCCCAGGCCCCTGCATTTGGGGAGGGAAGGTGAGGAACAGGCTGTGCCCATTCTTTGTGTCCCAGGCCCCCTTTTATTTGGAACAGGCTGTGCCCATTCTTTGTGTCCCAGGCCCCTTTATTTGGGGAGGGAAGGTGAGGAACAGGCTGTGCCCATTCTTTGTGTCCCAGGCCCCCTTTTATTTGGAACAGGCTGTGCCCATTCTTTGTGTCCCAGGCCCCTTTCTTTGGGGAGGGAAGGTGAGGAACAGGCTGTGCCCATTCTTTGTGTCCCAGGCCCCCTTTTATTGGGGAGGGAAGGTGAGGAACAGGCTGTGCCCATTCTTTGTGTCCCAGGCCCCCTTTTATTTCGAACAGGCTGTGCCCATTCTTTGTGTCCCAGGCCCCCTTTTTTGGGATCAGGCTGTGCCTATTCTTTGCTTCCCAGGTCCCCTTTCTTTGGGGAGGGAAGGTGAGGAACAGGCTGTGCCCATTCCTCCCCTGGGCTGCCCAGGGGGTGTTTGCTGCTGGTTTTTTTGGATGGCTCAGTGCTCTTCGTGCCTGGGCAGCTGGGGAGGGCTGCTCACCCTGCCCGAGCTGCGTCCCTGGGAAGGTGGAGCTGTGCTGACGCCGTTCCCAGCCTGAAGCTGCTCACAAATCCCATAAACTGATTATGGGTGTTAAGTCCCTGCTCAGTGACCTTTCTCCCTCTCACTGACAGCTTTGAACATCGTGCCCGTCCCCGCGGTGCTGGCGGGGGGTTTGGGGACAGCAAGGTGGGTATGGGGCGGCCATGGGGCTGCCTGGCGTGCCAGCCCTGCCAGCCACCTCCCAGGGGATGCAGCTCGGTGCTGATTGCAAGTGACTTGTTTTTGGTGATGGAAAGTGACTTTTTTGCTTCCCAACATGCAAACAGCTCGTGGGCTCTGCTCAGCCTTCCCCAGCGAAGAGCTGCTGGCAGGGCTTGCCAGCCAGCTGTCCCCACTGCTGAGGTGTCTCCCAAAATCCCGG